GGGGGGGGGGGGGGGTGAATGCTCGATTGCCGAAATGTACAGCGAATATTTGTACTGATCTCGTATTTGACGGCCTTTAATGCACAAGTTAATCCTCTACCTGCTGTGTAGTGAGTAGGCGGCTCCACTGTTGGCCCTAGGACCTAGACCCATATATGTAGTGTTTTAGCTCAGTTTGATCATATTTAGCCTTACAAGAAGACCTTGTTTAGTCTTAATATGTTGTTTACAGGATGTTTATTGACTGCATGCATACCAATGTTATACCCATGTTCGGCCTTATTTATGTTACTGTCATATTTTTGTTTTTCTAGGCTGACTTGTCTACAATGTTTGAGTTGTAGATTGTCGATGCAGTGGAAGGGAAGCTGTAAGAGCTGTCTGTATATAATGAACAGTGTTGGGACTTGTGGTATATTTTCATACAGCGCGGGAAACTTCTTTTTTGCTTTTTTTTTTGTCTTTCCTGACCTGCATTCATTGTTTGAAACCAGTGGAAGATTTACCTTTTTATATACTCATGTTTTTATTACCCTTTTGGAAGCTCGTCTGTAAATATTTTTGTTAATATTGTTTTTCAGATTTTTCTTTTCTTTTTCTTTTTTTCTTTTTTCTTTTTGCATGTCCAGGCATTGTCGATGGAGGAACAGTAACTAAGATGTAGTACACAGAGGACTTGAAATTGTGATGGTTTCTTTCAATATGGATCTTTTTACAGGAATAAAGTATGTATATTTTCACAGAAAATGCTGAGTTTGTAATGCATGTGGTGTTCCTGGACAACGAGAGTGAACACAAGATACTTTTTAATCACTTTTATTGCATAGCATACACATGTACATGATCATCTCTCTTTCTTTGAAACAAAGGAGTTATAAAATGGAGGCAAGAGTTGCCAGCTTTGCTCCGTGCCACACACCGCCCATGTGAACTGACTGGTGGCGACACTCTGGGTAATGTGTGGCCCTGTGAGACAAAGCAGCTTCCTCTTTTTGTGACTTCCTGCATGGCGGGCTCCATGCCGGGCCTCTCCTCTCTCCCTGAAGCCAACAGTACACTCATCCATAAAGTAGGAAACACTACACTGTGGCGAGGAGTTTAGTAGTGCTTTCTACTTTATGGATGACTGCACTGTACATCCACCGATCCTCTTCCGTCTTCTGTCTTCTCCCACTTCTCTCTTCTTCTGCACCTGCGCTTGGGTCTGCAGCTGCACACACACACACACACCAACCCCCCCGCGCAGACACACACTTCTACACCAAACTGAAACCTCTCAGCTCAACGCACACGCAACGCTCAAACAGCCCTCGCTTTTGTCAAACCAGAAAAAGCACACTTCCTGATTTGTGTTGAAAGTGAGGCCTGTTAACATTTTTGTTAAAGACAAAGGACCCCCGCCTGTATGCCTCAAAAACTGCCCCCATCAGAGCAGTTTTTGAGGCAAAAGTCAGAACTAAAGGGGTTGCCAGAGGAAGCGCTATCTTGAGGAAGCCATTTTGGTAGGCATGAGTAAGCTTTTCTGTCTGAGCAACAGATCGCTTGGTACAATAAAAAGTCATGTAAAAAAAAAAAGAAGTTTAAAAAAAGCAGACATTTGTTGTCAGATCAGAAACAAATTAGAGTGAATACAAAAAGATCCAGCAGATAAATTAAACACTAACATACAAATAAAGTCACAGTACCAAAAGAGAAGTGTTTGGTTTTAAGTACAATGTTTTCTCATCAAATTCCAAATGGAGTTATGAATAAAAGTCACTTACATCAAAGTTACATCAAACAAAAGCAGAATTAAAGAAGTAAAAGTTTAAACTCTGGCATATCTGTCATTATCTGACACGGATAAAAAGCATTCTCACCATGTCGTCTATAATAATTCTAGCATTAAATAGATACCGTCGTCCATCATACTTCACCTCTACCTTCATTTGTTTTCTCGGTTTTGAGTGACGATTGTCCGGCAGCCTCACAGGTGTCTTCTGTCCGTCCAAGGAGTGGATGAAGAAGAAGAAGAAGTTGTCTCCTTTTGAACCCTCCACAACCACGTGATGTAACCACAGGAAGAGGTCTAACAGTCACAGCCGCTCTCTTTCTCTTCTTCCGTCTTAACTCCCTGCCTTCTGCAGACACTTTTTTAAAACGCTGACATTTTTCCAAACTTCATGATGAAACGCGGGGAACAGCATTATCTCAACATTTGAGCTTTCTGAGTGTTAAATACAAACATTAGAACATCCCAGATTTCCTTTTAATAATTGAATTTTTCTTAATCAACTTCAAATCAAATTCTTTTAAGGCTTAAGCTCAAATTTTCCATATTGACCGTGTCTGTACTGGCATGATGATGATGTCATTTCTACTCATGTAGACATGCAGTTTGTCTCTAGCACATTGCAATACGCAGTTGGGTAATACGCCCGTAATGAAGTGGAGAACACTGTGAGCACATCTGCAGTGTTCCCATTAAGTGAATGTGAACTATTTAGAGCATATTGCACAATTATATTTTACATTAACTTCATCTCATTAACAGTTTAACATGTTGTGTAATACGTCAAGTACACTTCCTTTGATCATCATTAAGGGCTCTGAGCATGCCTGTTCATGCCTGTTTGTGCATGAATTACTGCTCAGACGACACAGAGGAAGGTTCGGTGAAGTGAGTCAAGTACCTGATGAGTAAAACAGTTCCTGTGAGGTGACTGATAATCTGACTTTCCTTCGCTAGAAATAGCAACGTCTTCCAAGTGTATTTACTGAGAGTTGAGTTCACCGTGACTGATAAGTGTCGGTTTGACTGAACCGAAGCCCACCAACTCGGATAGAAGCTGCAGGATGAGAGGCTCAACAGCAGCACTGTGAACTGCAGGGGGGTGTTTTTTTTTTTTTTTAAGTTTATTCAGAATGAAACAATCTGAACTGAAATCAGTTGTGAAACACCAGAATACATCATGAAAGGATAGATTCACATTTTTTCAAGTGAATCCTTGTACAGTACTCAGATGTTTTGAACTGTTAATGGTGACTGGAAGACGGTAGAGGTCAGGTTTCTGATCCACAATCCACAGTCCTCACTTTAGAGTGCACTTTCTGGATTTTGTCCTCCATCACTTGAGAGGATCTCTTTGTGTATAATAAATAATACTGGCATGTGAGAACAGTTTTCAAATGGGAACCTATCCTTTGATGTAAAAGTCAAACAGAGTTTTCTCTAACCTGCGTGTTGTTGTTAAAAAGACGACTTGTTTGCATGTGCATCACAGTGATTGCCATTACCTTTCTGCTGGTTTTCAAAAGTGAAAGGCAGGTTTCAATTCCTCGTAAATGTAAATGTCCAACTGTAACTGTGTGGTTTCTTATAACACACAGAGCAGGTCAAAAAACACTGTGGATGATGAATTAAAGTCACACTGATGACAATGAAGCTTTAGCATGTGAGTTTCATTAAGAGCGCACTGAAGTGTTTGGTAGGGTCTAAATGCAGCCTCTTACAACCCTACAAACAATTCAATAGAAAAGCAGCTTTTCTCTTTTAAGGCAAACACTGGTGCATTGTTTGCTCCTCTGGTAGTTTAATCTAGGTCACCAAAATATCTTAAAGAAGCTCCAGTAGTGATGAACGGCCTGCCTGTGTGCACAGTGACACAGTGAGTGGATTCATTTTCTGATTACCAACTGTAACACACAGCAGTCATAATGGAGCTGGTTTATTCAAAAAGCTCCAAATAACTTTAGTGTAGAGAGACTGCTCATATATACTCATTAAGCAGTCACTCAGGTTTATTTTAACCTCTTTACAACTGCATTACAGTGTGTTAGAAACTCTTAAATGTGTGTGTACTGCTGGAATACTGTATAAATGCTAAACGAGGGCGGGAGTGTTACCACAGTAAAGTATGCGAAAAAGGTTTGCATTATTTTTAGTCCTCACAGCTCCATTTTATGTAAACTGGTCTAATAACCTCTATTTAAGCAAAAGTACAGAGGAATTATCACCAACATGTACGTTTCATCCCTGTATAGGGCTGTGTGTTAGCGAGAATGTGGTGATATGATATGTATCGCGGTAGAGGGGTTACAATTCAGTATATTACGAGACAGTGAGCAGGGTGATATTTTGTGAACAATTTTAGGAACATTTTCATAGAACACAAAGAACACAGCCCCATATTCATGAAATCTGAGTGAAGTAAAGTTTACAAAACTTTACTAAATGCTTTTCAGAATCAATACATCACAAAATTGCAATATGATAATTTTCTATATTTTCTTCCACTATCCCTGTAACTAATATATATTGAGATATGACATTAATTACTGTTAGCTGTTAGGCTTTAACTACTTAATGGTTCCCAAACTAGGGGTCAGTCCCCTCCAAAGGGTCACCTGATAAATCTGAGGGGTCGTGAGATGATTCATGAGAGAGGAAAGAGGAAAAGTTCTTTTTTATAAGAGGTCACAAACCAAAAAAGGCAATGTGTTATAAGTTGTGCGGGGTCCGGATGTGTTCTCACACAGTTTCCCATTAAGGATTTGAGTGTGTATAGAAAGATGTGACGTGGTCAGGTCCTCTTTAGCTTTATTCCCATGACATATAATCCCTCTGGGAGTTAACATAGGATAAAAGAAGACGTCATCCAGACATTCATACCTTGAGAGCAGTGGATGGGAAACAAATCCTAAATGTGTGTGTGTGTGTGTGTGTGTGTGTGTCACTACACAACAAAGACATTAAAGAAAAGATGACACAGTTATGGCACAAAATTCATAAAAGATTGGGAAGGTGATCAGGCATCGGGGATGAGGATTCTGGGTATTCATCTGTTTATTCATCTTAAAGGGTCACTGACGCTCCAATTACAAATAAAACAACTACAAAGAAGACTTGCTTAAATATCCAGCATATGGCGTCTTTAAAAGTCACACTTTTTTTTTTTTTTTTTTATCCTTTAACCCTCCAATCTCCTGACCTGTGGCCTGCATTTTGCTAATCCATGCCCTCCTCATTTTACTGAGCCACAAGCCTCCACTGCAGAGCTTCATCTGGCAGACCACCACCAGTGTCGGTGCATGTGCCCGTGGGGAAGTGATCCTAACTCTGAACAGTGCACTAAAGCTGTGGCCTTCCCCGAGCCCATGCTGCCTCTTGTGATAGACCTTATCTGGGCCGGCAGCCATTTCCCCTCCCTGCCTGCTCTCTCTATGCTCCTCCTGGGCCGCGGCCGGGAGACCCGCAAGCTCCACAGAGGCCTGAGCTGCTCTAAACTGGCTTCTGCAGAGCACCAGTGGAAATGCATGTATCCTTTCTTTCAGCACAAACTTAAAGTCTGACTTCTCGTTTTGTCAGTTTAACAAAGAATGAAGCTGCCAGTAACTGAAAATACAAAAAAACTGTACAGACCTTGATTGAGTGAAGCACCCAGAATATTATCATGGAACAGTTTAAGGTTGTAAAACATATTGTTACACTATTTATACACACAAACACAGCACTCAGGTGGTAGAAATAAAACCTTAATGCAGTCTATTTGTAAAGTGGTTTTATTACAACTGGTTTTGGGGATTATGTATATCTGTAAATCTGAATACTACTGATTCACAGACATAAATGAGTGTGTGAAAGCCCCACATGAGCACTTTTCTCAACGTATCTCTCCATGACACATAAATAAAGTCACTGTAAGTAAAACATGCCCAGTGTGTTCAGAGATGAATTAACAGACTCTAATTAGAGCCCCGAAGGAGGCCCGATTGTCCCCTGCGCTGTCTGTGTATGTGTGTGTGTGTGTGTGTGTGTGTGGTGTTCCTGTTTTTTCTTCCTGTACACACCGACACTGTGAAGCAGATCACTTTCAGTTAAAGGAATTTAAATCCTTCAATATGATGAGCTGCTCTCAGTTCTGTAGCTGTTATCTAGTCTACATAAGAGAGGAAGTTTTGTCAGCCTTATGAAACACACACACACAGCAGTTTAAGTGTGTGTGGCTCTTTGTTGATAATGTCCATCCCCTTACTTCCCTATCTACACTTTATCCCTGTCAGACAGAGCACTTTTCTAGCCTGAGTTGAAGAATCCTCCACTTTCCTTTTTTAAAAAAAAACAGAGGTCACTAAGCAGCAAAGTCAGTATAAACCATGGAGTCGACACTTCGTTTTCTGATCTAATACTTTCCCTTTAGCTTAAAGCCTTGACATATCCAAATAAGGGCATAAGCCAGAGCTGTCAGCACCAATGAGGCCGTGGCAGACGGGCCTGTGTGTCCCTGCGAGTGTGAAAATGAAGGGCGTACTTGGTGCAATGCTTGATGTGTAGAGGAGAGCAGCTGGGCGGAGCTGAAAGCTTTCCTGACAACGCCTGTGGTTGTCTTGCAGCACTGGGCCCAGTTCTCGGTTTTGTTTTTAGTTCACAGCGCTCATGAAATGACTTCACCCACATGTAGTGTGGAAGAGAACAGAGGCTCAAATCACACGGGGAGAAAAGTGATTAAAAAACTGCACTTTAGTCTGGAATTGTATGGTTTTACATGGCAGAAAAGGGGTAAAACTGATTATGTTTATATAATAATGTTGCACTTGTCTACACACATGCACCCAGCTCTGCTCTCTCAGTTACAAACCCACACGGAGGCGTACAGACTGACACTTGTGGTTTATTTCTCATTTGCTTATAAACTGTCTCCAACCACGGAAGGTAGATTCTCAGATCAAACAGTCTCGTTCTGCTGAAGATGGAAAGAATGAGAAATACTTATGTTTTTCAGTTCAGTTTTTAGGTTCTGTTCAAAACTGCAACAGACATTTCCTTGAACCAAGAGGCCCACCTCCCTACTTCTGTGTTTCATGTTCACAGCAAAACAATAAATGAAGTCCCGGAAGCTGCTCGCCCCTTATCAACTGTGCACACGCATTTGCACCTTTGACCTTGCCATTATTTTGTGTCAAGCAAACACATTATTAAAAACAGAACTGTTTTTATTTTAATTGTATATGAAGGGTTAGGTTAAACTTATATGATGCAACTAGAAAATAATAATAAAAGAAACAACAATAACCTTGTGGCCCGAATTATATTTTTGACATCATGTCGAAGGCCGGAGGGGGGTGAAGGGCTGGAAATGGATGAATTAAAACAATTTATTGACTTCTAATTCCACCTTTAGATATTTCCACAATAATGTCATTTTTTTTAGTTCAAATATCTTCATTTGGTGGTTTTCCAAGGAAATGTTGATATATTTGACATTAAATCAGCATATAATTCAGTATATTTTCATTACTGAGACATTTTTAATACTTCCACAAGAGATAAAAAGACAACAGTAACAAATGAGATGAACGGAGCAAGAAGTAAAACAATAGGAAAAGAGCAGCCAGACAACTGATTTTAACATTAATAAAAGGCTGTGTGAGCTTTGACCTCTGACCTCACTGTGGCACTGAAAGGAAAACCAAAGTTCAATAAACATCACCTTTTCTTTAACAATGGTGCCTCTGCATCTGCCATCTTCCTGTTAAGCTTGATGAGAAAATGATCACAGTGAGGTGTGATGGATAAGTCCATTTAAAGTGGGAAATTAAAATGCTTTCTCAAGGCTACCAACAGTTTTTTTTTTAATTTTAGAACCTTTTAAAACTTTTAAAGTTTGATTTGTTGAGCCTCGGTGATTTGTTAATACAGATTACTTTATATATGTGCAAATTACTGCATGAGTGTTTCCATTAAACAGTCCTCACAAGCTGTTACAACCTGCTTCTAGTGGAAACCTGGTCACAGTGTCTCTGCCTGCAAAGAGCCATGTGACAGCTCTACGTGTGTTACTCTGTGACTTGGTTACAGTACATCTCTCATTACAGTAAATAAGAAAATACTGATTATAGCATCATTCAGAATAGCTCTCCTCCTGATACTGTATAGCAACATTATGTAACATAGATGTTACTTTCTGGTTCACAGTTACAGTATGAACAAGTATAGTTTGGTTCTTTTAGGTCAGATCTGTCCAGAACAGTAAGGTAAGAAATGTTTCTACATACATGAAACTAGGTCAGCTTTCATATCATATGATGGAAGACTTTTTTAGGCTGTTTTCACCTCATGTTATTTTACTGAATTTAAACAGAAATATTTATTTTTATGGTGAAAAACTGTCATGGCTCTTATCTGTACGTCATAAGGTAGCCCTCTGAATGCCTTCACATACATCTTTGTGTGCTCTACATTTTGATTATTATGAATTTGATTTGCTGGTAGTATGTCAGAGGATCCTGAGATAAAAACCATCTGCCTCACTTCACTAAACCATAACCTCAATTGGTTTTTTGTTTGCTTTTCAAAGAGCAGGTTCACTAACTATGCCTTTGCAACAAAATATGAGCAGCAGGTGGCCGTGCAATGAAACTCTAATAAAATCTAATAAGACCAGAGAGAGAGCTTAATGTGCTCACTTACAGAGATTTACAGAGTCCTCTGTGTGCATGACCCCGATCCATCAGGTTACAGTGAAATTACACAATACCCAGACCCTCTGGCAATAAACAAATATTGTTTCTTCCTACACAGTAATATAAGCCAACAATAGAGTGTTACAGCTGAACAGTATTTGATACACACAGCAGCACAGGATGACCACATACAACCCTGAGATCTTCTTACAGGCTATTGTATAGTGAACCAGTAAACTATCAACAGAAACTATTTATGACACGCAGTAGGTGAGAATCCTGCAGCTTTACACCACTAATAGTTTGATTCCCCCTGCTGGTAGAGTTTGGTACTGCACGTAATTCAGCTACTCAGTAAAAAGCACCATCTTGTGGCCCAAATCAGTCAGCACAGGGATGTTTCATTAGCACTTGTTCAAACCCAAAGTGATCAGCTGTTTGGTTCCTCCTCCCTGGTGTTTCAGATCAATAGCTGGCTCACTAGTTAAAGACTACAGTGATGAGTTAATGATCTGGACACGACTCTGTGGTGATACATGGGGAGGTATTTGAATTCTGTATGGTCTAACCACAACACCCCATAGCCATGCTAGCAGCTAAGTGGCTCTTTGAGTAAATTGTTAACATGCTGATGTTCAGCAGGCATGTTTACCATCTTAGTTTAGTGTGCTAGCATGCTAACATTTGCCGATCATCACCAAACACAAAGTAAAGCTGAGACTGATGGGAACGTCATTAGTTGTTGAGGTATTTGGTCATAAACCAAAGCAGATCTGATGGTGACTGGAAGGTTATTATAATTCATCCTGAGGGGGACTTGGATATCTGATCCAAATTTCATTGAAGTTTCTACAATAGTTAATACACATCAGTCTGGACCGACAATGCCGTCACTAGAGCTACACTGCTAACATGACTGGAAAGGAAATAATACATTTGGAATTAAGTAATCATTACAGTGAACGTGGTGTTCTGTGTTTGTTATAGTTGCTGTTTTTTGGGACATTTTCTGGGGATCTTCCAGTGTACATTAGGTCTAGCACAATGTGACGCTCCGTAGAACCACTGAATACAAACAGCTTCGAGCCTGAGTTGGATTAAGGTGCAGACTTTCTGTCCTCCATGGTATTCATTCCCTGAATCAGCAGACTCACTGTGTTTGCAGCATATGAAATAGGAATAAACTGTGATTTTATGACAATTACTCACATTTCTTATAAAACAGACCTTTATTTTTGCAATTAATAAAAAACAGAAAGAAAACATCCCCTTTTTTTGTCACCAATAAGCCCTCATGCAAAAATTTCTAATCACAACGAAAGACAAAACTTCTAGGGCTCCAACAGCTGGAGGACAGTTTCATAAGACATCACAGACATGATCAAATTTAGTCCCACTGGTGTTCCTTCTTCCTGCCGTTGGTGCTGCAGTGTGATACCGCTCTGATCAGACAACTGGAAGCAGTCACGTTTATGTCTTCACTGCTGTATCTCTGGATTTGTAGATTACTCCTCTGCTCTTCAACTCTCTCACCACACCTTCAGAGAAGGAGAAAAACAATAGCAATGTAAACAGCAGGTAGGTGAAGCAAATGTTGGCTTCACATCAAGAAAAAATAAATGTTTACTTTCTAAGTGTGCATGACTGGCTACATACTGAGGCAGTGCAGTTAGATATAGCGTACCTGGAGGTAGTCTGCCTGTCACTGACACTGCATAAACACCTGGCTTGAAGTTGCCTGTAGGAGGGAGCAAAATAAACATACACAAATTAACAATTAAAAATAAAACAACTATTCTTTTTTAAAATACATGAATTGTTCTTAACAGCATTGGGGTATACTACCTTAACCTTAGCCTTTAAGTATGGTCTTTATTGGCACCACATTGATTGGTAAACCCATATAGATTTATCACCTGACTTTTCAGCTCATTGCTTTAAGCAAACAATCTCAAATAAATAATAAACCGAAACATGACTCAATAGGAACAACAGGATTATAATGTTGCTTTGTGTCTGCTGAATGTGCAAGTCAGCAGCAGTTTACAGGTTAGCTGCAACAACTTTATAAGCTTGTTTTATAAAGTTGTCCTGGTCAAAAATGGATGAATGCAGCTTTAAGTATAGGCACACATGCTTACCTATCCTCTGCCATTTAGCTACCCAACTGTCCTCAGGACTCATCATGGCTATCACACTGTGGACATACAGACAGTATCGGTAAACATTCAGAAAACAATCCAATCCACGTGAAAGCTTTTGAATAAACAATGCTAAATCAGTGTTTACCCATCAAATGAGGAACTCGTGCATTCATAAACCATCTCTCGGTTCCCTTTCATCTGCAGGTACGACTCGCAGTTGTCACAGCCGTCATATTCAAACTGGTCAATGGTCTAAAGAAGACAAGAAGGAGAAGAGTGAGTTGGTAATAGATGAATGAATCCAGAGATTAAAATAATGGATACAAATATGTAAAGGAGCAGTGAGGACTGCAACCAACTGAACACCCATCGTGAAGGTACAACGGGCTGTCAGGTGTGTAGGTATAAACTATGGTGGAAGCGAAAAGCAAGAAAGAGTCTACAGCCAGAGTTTGGTTTGTCCCTTCTGGGTTACTGTAGAAACAGGGAGACTCCATGGAAGGCGACCCTGTAGATAAAATCAGCTCATTGCACGGTAATGACGATACAATGATCCCCTTATTCAGGTGATTACAGACTAATGATACCTATGAATATTATATTTTTCCAATATCTGCCAACAGATCCTTCCTCCGCACTTGGTTACAAGCACCGGACCTTCATACGCCAGTTAGATAGATGTACAGCCACAACACCTAATCAGACAGGATTGTAAGATGCTGGGAACCTCGATACGCAATCCCACTTATCCCATCTCTAAACAGTGGTCAACTAGCAGCCTGTTTGTGTGCTATACGTTGTATAGGCTGCTACCGGGGAGAGAGACGAGACAAATTTGATTATACTGATGCCCTTATATTTTAAGGGATGCTTTTAACACATCGCTTAAACACATACTGTCCCGGGGTATTTCTCGAGTTTTTGAGGTTCCATGGAGTTATGTATAAGCAGCTCCAACTATGGATATCTCACTGGGTTTTATGCGCCACTTCGTTCGTTCCGACTAAGGCTCTGCGATAATTGTAAGTGATAACATACTTGTGGCCTGTTGATTACACTTGAAACGGTACTAGAAAGAAGTTCAACTGGGGCCTAGCCATGTTAGAAAGCCCTCTGAGAAAGGGCCAGCGGACCCTGAAGGCGTTGAGGTTATGTTGCCTGTTAACAACTTGGACCACGGTATAGCAGTTTCCCATCGCTTGGTATAGAGGGGGGATGGTCTGCTTGAGTGTTTATATCTCTCTCCATCTGTGGTTAGAGTCGTAAGACAAAGGACGGATCGAGCGCACACAGCAGTGAGTGGCCGAGAGGATCTTATGGGACCCCGTCCTCTCCCCCGCTTGCCATGCGCGGGTCAGGCTCGCCGAGGGTGAGAGGGGCGTGAAAATACCGTGGCATCACTACAAAGTGGGCGTTGAAGGACGGTGAGGGATCAAACCTCGAACAGACTAGACAATACGGTAATGCACTAGCGCAACCGCATGCTTCGACACTGTCGCGCTTGCGCTCGCAGGGCGTACCAAACAAAAAGCGTATATTTATAGCTTGGTTAACGACTACGGCTGTTATGCATCCTCCATGTTTGGAGACTTCTGACGTTGATAACGACCAGCGTGTCCATCTCTTCAGTTACTTCGGTAGCACAGACAGAAAGCGGCCCAGGAAAAGACCGTTAGACTGGCGTGAGCCCCCCCGTCCAGAGCATCGCACTCAGGGCGGTACCAGTTCTTCCCAGCACGTCCGGCAAGCGAAGATCGCGCGCCCTGCAGGCCGAGCAGAGAGGGAGACACCACATACACCCCGATGGGAATCCGCTGCGCATATTGGCGCTCGTTCCGCAGTTAATGTAATGCTTTGCTTCACTCATTTCTCACGCATAAAAAAAAAAAATTGCAGACAAACTATCTGAATTGATTTATTATAGGTTTTTTTACTGCATTTGTTTGTCTCTTCATAGACCCTAATAAAAGGTCTTACATGCGTCCGATTATATACATTGAGGTTACATTCAGGCTAAATGGTCATATTATGGCAAATGAGGCGATGAACTTCATTTGAAGACTTGTAGACTTTTTAGGACAGCCGAATACTACTTTCTTACTTGAGGGTCCTGCGCTGGCGAACGGTCAGAGCGTTAAGATGAAAGGACAGCAGGCAGCTCAGTTTACCCTGATTTCTTTCCTCCATGGGGAAAGAAACAGAATAGAGGGAAGTGGTGAGGGTTGGATATCATTTTTGTCCCCCCCAGAGGAATAATTATATTTTCTGTCTAACGTTATGATCTTGTCTGAAATGTTGAGCTGATGTCTGTGGATTGCAACCATCTATCTAGTACAACTCTTGCTGTTAAAGCTGTTACCAGTAGTGTCATCCATGGTGATTAGGGCGCCCGGTCAAATTATTGTCTTTGATGCCCTAGAAACACAAGCCACTGCACACGCTTGGACTCACAGCACGCCAGCCACTCGAGAGAACTGTTTAATTGTCACTCATCAGCCTCACGCCTAACGTTACAGGTGATGGCTCGGCCACACGACTCCCGCCATCCCCTGGCGAAGCCAGCGGGCCTCCGGAGAACCGTTCCAGATCGAAGCACTTATCGTAGAACAAGCGCTGCCGACCTGGGCCTCAAACTACCACACGCCCGGATTGCATGTCTCGCAAACTATCAACACACATCAAATAATGAACGTCGACACCCCTAACAAAAGCTCACACAAATTCCACTTCATCACACTAAGAGAAGCTGTACTCACCTCTATTCGAAGCGTCATCTTACGCGGCCTTGCGCCTCAGTTCTTGTTCTCAATAGACGAGGACAGCCACGTCCACTGTAGCCTCCTCTTGTATCGACGCCTACCCGCTGGCAGCCTACGCGCCAGCCTACCGGCGGAGTACCTTAGCGTCTTTTGCTGGGGTTCGCCTGGGTCCTGAGTAAAAATGTATCTGTAGATTTGGCATTTATTAGTTTTACCTTCATCCCTGATTCATCTTTCTTTGCCTTCCTCTTTTGCGCGCGCTTTTGTTGTTTAGTTGAACCGTCGTCACCTGGCTTGCCCCTATACACATTCGCATATCCTAGCTTCTATTCCACTTTCATCCACTTTTGCTGTTCTGGTTCTTTCCCGCCGCCTGAAGGAGAGAATCAGACGCTCACGCTCACGGTCACTCGCGGACTCATCATGACTGGACAGCTGGTCAAGGTTGAGTCTGGGACGAGGTGATCATGTGTGCTCCCCCCCACTCACACAACCCAAGCACCCTCCCGTCCTAGCCTACCTTCCCCCTGACCCGCCCCGAGCTATTCTCATTCCACAAAAACAACACATCCGCTGCTGGCAGCTCCTTTTTTTCTCTTCACTCACTTGGTCGCCCTGCACGGCATCTGGTGGCCCTCCGGTCTGCACGTACGATATTTACTGGCCTGGTTGTTAACTATTATCCGTTACTACCACCGTTGGCCTGGCGAAAATATGGGCGGACTTTCCAGTTAAACCGAAAATGCGAGAAAACGATTTGACCCTAAAACAGTATTAAGATGATTGTAAAAGAAACATGATTTATCTATTTAACTTAACCCGAACATGTTGTCCCCCCCAATAAGTTTAAAATACTCCTTCCTCTACGCCCCTGGTTTGTGTGTGGTGAGTTATTGAGTGTTCTATTTCAGGGATTGGAACAGAATGTTGTGATGTATTACTACTGCTCCTGGGTCTTCTCTCAGAGTTTCTCTTGCACACTTGTTGACCAGCTTGCACAGCTGCCACAGCATCATCAATAGATAGGATGGCTCTGCAGGAAGGTTTTGCTATTTGGCTAGAAAACATTACAAGTTGATGTTGACCTATTCTACTTTGGACAGGTATACATTGGGACTAGGCAAACTCACATGTGTAAACGAAACTAATCACGATCTGCTGCAATCACCTAATGACTATAGAGACTGTTTGAGCACAGAAGAAATATGCTTTTGGTTAACAGTGGCTTTGTTACCTCGTGTACCAATGTGAGGTGCAATGCTTTTCGGCAGTCCTGAAAGTAATTGTCTCTTATTTTCCTCTCTCTCTTTACGAATCACAGAAACCTGTTGAAGACCGCTGAACGTCCTCTTCAAAGACACTCTGGTTAGGTAACCTTGGTCTACTAGTCCTTGTTATTTAGTTCTTTATTTATCTGAGGTCGTCAGTGTGTGCTGCTGCGTGGACTGGACTGTATTCGGTACTCGAAATGAGTAGGTTACTCCTAAATATTGTATCTGCCCTCACAAAGTTCTCATATTTTGTATTCATTGTAAAATCTTAGACTTGTTAACACACGATGCAGCAACCAAGTTTAAGATTATTTCATGTAAGTCAGAAATCGCAAATAGTTTAGTGCCTTTCCCGCTGCATTTGTGGTCTCTCCGTGCAAGTGCTTCTGTTTAGCAGCGCGGCCAGCAGGTATGAGATATTACTCTGTGAGTAGAGAAGTTAGAAGGGAAGTCATTGAACTTTTTCGGTCAGGATCACTATCTAACTTTGTGGACAAGACACGCCCGACAGGAGTGATACAGTACCCTGTTTCCATTATGTGTTGGGAACACACGTTGGACCATTACTCTTCTGTTATATAGATATGCCAGAATGTTCGCAGTTGGGATTACTTATTATGAATGTTTAATAGTGCTCGCTCAACGCCAACTAGTTCATCTGAATTGCGTTGAAGTCAAGCTCTGGCTTTTGTTATCCTTTTACCGAGTGGCCGTGGATCCCGCATGCGGCAGAACAGAATTCCTAGACATTTGTGCTCAGCTTTCTGTGGGAAATGGGATGTTGTTGCCATGGGTATGCGAGGTGGCCTGTGGAGGCTTGCAGCAAGCTGGGCTTGGCCAAATACTGGCCAGCGCTAGAACGCCGCTTGGCCTGGTACATGAGCGCACTGACACCATGCAGTATAGCTTTGAATTTCTTCCAAGTTTCTAGGGAATCTTTAACTTTCACCGCTGTTGTCCGTCTCCACTGTGGGAGCTGCTCTTATCATATATTTTCAGTCCAGGTAAGAGATTGATCTTAATAGGAGCTTCGGCATCCAATAGGTAGATGGGGTGGCGCTGTGTTTGTGACTTTTGTCAGTAAGTTATCCATTTGTCGCCGCTCACAATTCAAAGGACCTGTCAGACTTCCATCCTGGTGTGACTGGATTGAACCAGCTAGCTTGGTCGTCTGTAGTACACGGGTGTGCTAGCGTTCTAATGAACAACCCATTCCTTGGTGGTATGATGAAACAATGACTGGAGGAATTAATAAGGTTTTCTTAACAGCTCCGGCTCTACTCCTTTTATACCGGTTCATGATTAGTATAACCCTTAATACAATATATTATTAATATCAATCAATACCCTTATAGAATTTTATGATAATTGTCTTAATTTGACTGTAATTCTATCTCTCGCCCAACTTTAGACCTCATGTCCCTTTTCTACCTTCTCGAAGTGAAACCTAATATTCCACCAATCACAATAGTGGCCTCAAGGCGGCTTTTACAATCTGTACAGCATACGACCCCCTCTATGCCTCACAGCCCTCACCATTCTCAGAAGAAAGAAACCTCCACCCTCTCCAAAATTCTAAACTATTACTCCCCGCTCATGATCCTTAATTACATTATTATTCTTACCTATTGCTCGTCAGC